TGCATCCCATAATTCACGTACCCCAAAGGGAGCAAAATAAAAACCGGTTAGCTCAAGTAGCTCAAAATTGTTGCGTTTAAAAAAGCATACAGAATGTGGGGGAAAAAGCATAATGCAGGAAGGGGGGGGGGGGAGAAACGACAGATTTGAACCTGGCGCATTGGGAAGCGGTTTTTGTTTGAAGTTTTTTCCCTTTTGTCCGACATTGTGTGAATTAGACTGCGGAAGGATTCAAATCACTCCTACCTTGAGAATGAGATTTTGCCGTATGTTTGCTGAGTTGCACAAATATAAATGGCTAAGGGATTTTAAACGTTGTGCAGGGCCTTCTAATGCTCACCATACAAGCTCGCTTAACTTCTCTAAAGCCACCTGAATGTGACACAACAACCCCATGCCAAGAAGTTGATGGTGGAAAAGCAGCAATGCTTTTTGCAGGCCTCTATTTGGTGGCTCTGGGAGTTGGAGGAATCAAAGGTTCACTGCCATCACATGGTGCTGAGCAGTTTGATGGAACTACCCCTTCTGGAAGGAAACAGAGATCAACCTTCTTCAACTACTTTGTTTTCTGCCTATCATGCGGTGCCCTCATTGCTGTCACTTTCGTCGTGTGGGTTGAAGACAACAAAGGGTGGGAATGGGGTTTTGCAATATCTACTATTGGCATTCTCGTGTCCATCCCTGTCTTCTTGTCTGGCTCTACTACTTACAGGAACAAGATCCCTACTGGAAGTCCACTTACAACCATTTTCAAGGTAACTGACATACAAGCTATTAGATGATATACTATACTTCTCCACATGTCCATCCAAAAATTCATACCCTATTTTTTTTCCCTTCTAAAATAACTTCCCCTGCCCCCATGTTTCGCTCGACATCAGTCTCTAATTTGGGTATGGGTTCCTTTTTCTGAGCAGGTTCTGATTGCTGCTTCAATTAATACCTGCGTCAACAGAAATTCTAGCAGTGCTGTTGTGAATATGGGTTCTAGCCCTTCTAATCTTAAGTCAAGTGGAAAAGCAGTAGAGGAGGAAGCAGCAAAAACAAGCCAGTCAAGTGAGGTCCCAACGGACACGCTCAAATTCCTCAATAACGCTGTTGCAGACATGCCAGTCCACTCATCCCTAGAATGCACTGTGCAACAAGTGGAAGATGTCAAAATAGTACTGAAAGTACTACCCATATTTGCTTGCACCATCATGCTTAATTGCTGCCTTGCACAGCTATCCACATTTTCTGTGGAACAAGCTGCTACCATGAACACCAAGCTCGGTTCCCTCATGGTGCCACCAGCGTCCTTACCAGTTTTCCCAGTAATGTTCATCATCATCCTAGCACCAGTCTATGACCACATCATCATCCCCTTCGCTCGAAAAGTAACCAAAACAGAGACAGGCGTCACTTATCTGCAGAGAATTGGGATTGGATTAGTCCTCTCTATACTTGCCATGGCAGTAGCAGCTCTGGTTGAGATAAAGAGAAAAAGGGTAGCCACACACTCAGGGCTATTAGATTCAACCAAACCACTACCTCTCTCATTCTTTTGGATTGCATTTCAGTACTTGTTCCTAGGGTCAGCTGATCTCTTCACCTTGGCTGGTTTGTTGGAGTTCTTCTTCACAGAAGCCCCAATAAGGATGAGATCTTTGGCCACATCTCTTTCCTGGGCCTCGTTGGCTTTGGGGTACTACCTCAGTACAGTGATTGTATCAATAGTAAATAATGTCACCGGTAACTCGACCCACAGACCTTGGCTATCTGGTAGCAACCTTAATCACTATCATCTGGAGAGGTTCTACTGGCTCATGTGTGCTCTGAGTGGTTTGAATTTCCTGCACTACCTCTTCTGGGCTCTTCGGTACAAGTATAGAGGAGCAGGAAACATTGAATGAAGTTAAGAGAGCGGAATTTGCCAAATAGTCCATGAGTACTCAAGTTTACGAGGCCATTAATCAAACAGCATGCCAAGCTTGGGCATGGCTTTTGGCCAAAAGAAGAAGGTTTGAAAAAAAAAAAAAAAAAGATGGATATAGGCATATAGCTGTAACTGGGTGGATCTGCACGTTTGAAGAGTAGAGATATCAAGCATTTTTATACAAAACAAAACCAAACAGGTGAAGGGAAAAATAGTTACTTGTAACCAACATGGCTTTTTGCGGTTTCCAATTAATATATAGTAAATGCTAGTGGCTCTTGCCGAATTGCCTATACTCATCCATCCGTGTCTTTTTTACCCCCGAGACGCAGCACACTGAACCACGCACAGATATTGGGTCACAACCTGGGTCAAGTTACATAAAGGTTTTAAAGTGGGAAATTTTTATCCTAAATTATACGAATATCTCTTGTATTATCAAAATCAAAATATACACTATAGTGCAATCTTTTTTCAACGGAGGTTAATGAATATTCAAAAATAAAATAGTAATTTGTATAATTTTAGCATATTAATCAACATTCCATACATTCATGTAATAGCATATATACAAATAGAGGTGAAACGTATGAAAATCCACAGTGAGAAATTCTATTAATTCGAATTAATACCACATAATTCAGATCAATTTAAAATTTAGTCAACTTAATTTATACATTACAATCATGTCACATCCATGATTAAATGGCAAAACATTAAAAATTAATGATGGGCGATCGAATGATAAATGAAGCGCGTTTGATATATTTTCCCTCCATTTTCAAAAAAAAAATATACATATATATATTTATATGCTTTAAGAAAATTGATCAAATATAATAATTACGTTTAAAATTAAAAAATTTGGAATAGATTATCATTATAATTAATAAATCAAATATGTATAGTGGAAATAAATATTGATTTTATGATGGATAATTTAAAAAAGATGTGATAAATATTCCTTAAGATTTAAGGTTTTTTATAAATAAAACCAAAGAGATTCATTATAGTTTCTCTTATGTTCCTTCCATCTCAAACTATATAAAGCTTTTAGAGGAAATTAAGTGTCCCAAAATATAAAACATTTTGAAAAGATTAATGTTTCATTAAATAAACTTATTTTAATATCACCATTTCTCTCCCTATTTAATTTTCCTTCCTTTCTTTTAAATATATTAAATAAAAAGTATTTTTTAAAAGTTTATATTTTTATTTTTTAACAAAATAAAATTATTAAATATATTTAATAAAACTTATGAATATATTAAATTTTATTTAAAAATATCTTATAATATAGGATAAAAAGAGTATTTGAAAACAGGCGGAGTATTTGGTAGTCAAGATTGAAACTTGAAATTGCTTCTATGTCTTGGTAACTTATATTACTAGTCCACCGATGTGAAAGCAAGCAATGGACGTAAAGTGATAGCCTGGTATCGGGCACTATTGAAAACTATTCCTTGTCTCAATTTCAGAAGTATTTGCACGCTATTGCGTAAAGAAAATGTAATTTAAATTTAAAATTATTTTATTTAAATAAAATAAAAGTTTATTTTAGATAAATTAATAATTTAACTAGTTTTGATAAAATAGTTAGATGTGTCTTATATAATAGAGACCGAAAAAGTAAATATAATATGAAAGATCTACATGTGGTTTTAAACATTTCTTTACGAATATAGAGAAAACATATTTAAAAGAAAGTTGAGAGAACGCATGGGCTTTGCATAGATATGTATTGGAGGTCATTTTCTTGATTGAATGGAATGAGTTGAGGTGACTCCAAGTTTTATGTATTGTTAGTCATCCTAAATTTATTTCTTTTTTACTGCACAATTTGAGAAGGAGGATAAAATGACTTAATATAAATAATGTTATCATAAAATTATTCTTGTCCTTTTCACCCTTTTCACTTTTCCACTTTATCTCATGAAAAAAACATAATTATAACCAATTCAAATATATTAATATTGTAATAATTTTTAAAAATAATTAAATAAAATTATTCATTTATTTAATAAAAAAATTTCAAACAACGAAGTGTTTTGTCCTACTTCACTCTATTGCATTAATAACTATTATATTCTATTCTATCAAGAATCACATTTTCTTGAAATTCACTTTTATAAATAGCTACTTTTATAAAAGCTTTATTTGATCAAAAATATAAACTTTTGCATAAGTTTTATATATCTTGGATCCAATTATATTCTTTATGACACTATACTCAAGTAATTAATGAGCGTGTTAAGTAAGTTAAATGTTATTATATTTATTTCACAGAAAAGATGTGAGAAATTTTAGAAAATTAATATTTTAATAAAATTTTTATAAATGTAAATTAATTGAAAATAACATATATTAGCATTTGGGAGGTGTAGAAATATTTGACTGTTAGAGGAGATAAAAAAATATTTAACAACACCTTCAGGCAACAGGGGATGTAGCTCAGATGGTAGAGCGCTCGCTTAGCATGCGAGAGGTACGGGGATCGATACCCCGCATCTCCATTTTTCAAATAATTATTTTTGATTTTGCTTCAACTGCTCTGATTCTCTCTGCCCTTCTTTCTGCTGTAACCTGTAAGTCACTCAGCACCGCCAATGTTGCCAGTACAGTTTCACTGCTCGTGAAAAGTTGACCTCTCGGCATTACAATTCAGCCCCCACTCCACTCAGCTCCCTGCCACCTCATTAATTCTCGCATCCACTTCTTGTAGCTTCTTTCTTGTTTAGCCTCTGCCTCTCCTTTTTTACTATTCAATCATCTCTGTCCCCCTCCCATTTATTATCTTCATCCTCGCATTTGTTCTCCCTCACCCTCTCATTAACTCAACCCTCTCTTCTTTTTCCCAAACTTGCTTTTTACGTTTAGTCAAAGTAAATACTACATATCTATCAAGGATTAATTACCGCTACGCTTCCTTCTGTTTCCTTTTCTGTCTTACTTTCTCTAATATATGTGGACGTACTACATGGATTTCCCAAACCAAAAAGAATCTCATACACCTTACAAAACGGAAACTTCCAGCAAGAAAAGTAGGAATTTCATGTATCAGGGCTCACATTCATATTAGGCATTATCACTATTAAAATTCCGATACCCACACGTCTTTCCTGGATCTTCAGCCTTAGTAAATTTGTTCCAAAATCTTTGATTCCATTTCTTTCTTTATATATGTTCATTTAACCAAATTAAGGATACAAATTCTCATCACGACTCCTCCGGACTTGCGTTATATATGCGTAAAGACGTGCATGAAGTGCCAAGAACCCAAGTCTGAGCACTCTCAGACTTCTTACAAACCTACTCTCACAAAGAAGAAGAAGAAGCCATGGGCTTCAAGAACCCTTCTTTACGGATCTTTTTCTCCATCTACATTATATTCCACGCTTTCCTCGTCCCTCCAGCGACGTCGTCTCCCTCCGCCATTGCCAATGCCAGCAGTGGAGGCGGCGGCCACTGGATTCTCCTGCACCGAAGTATTGGCATTTCGGCCATGCACATGCAAGTGATGAAGAACAACAAGGTCGTCATCTTCGACCGCACCAACTTTGGCCCCTCCAACATCTCACTACCCAATGGCCGTTGCCGCTTCAATCCTCGCGACATGGCTTTGAAAGTCGACTGCACCGCACATTCCGTCCTTTACGACGTCGCTTCCAACTCCTTCCGGCCCCTCACCGTCCAGACCGACACCTGGTGCTCCTCCGCCGCTGTCGACTCCTTCGGCACCCTCATCCAAACCGGCGGCTTCAATGATGGCTACAACAAACTCCGAATTTTCACCCCCTGCGACGACGATCGCTGCGACTGGATCGAGGTCGCTGTTCCTTTAAGTAACAGTCGCTGGTATGCCTCTAATCAGATTCTCCCCGACGGTCGCATTATCATCGTTGGTGGTCGTTCAGTTTTCACCTACGAGTTTGTCCCCAAGAATTCAGGAAACGACAATGGGTCATATTACTTTAGGTTCTTGAGAGAGACGAGGGACTCCGGACATGGAGAAGAGAATAATCTTTATCCCTTCTTGCATCTCTTGCCGGACGGGAATCTCTTCGTCTTCGCCAATAAACGCTCCGTTTTGTTCGATTACATGCGGAATCGGGTCGTCAGAGAGTACCCGGTTATGCCCGGTGACGAGAAACGAAACTACCCGAGTACCGGGTCGTCGGTTTTGCTCCCCTTGAACTTAACCGGGTTGGTAGACACGACCAGGTTGCCCGATGCAGAGGTGATGGTGTGTGGCGGAGCTTTCCCAGGCGCGTTTCCTTTGGCTGATAAGAAGAAAGTGTTTGTGGAAGCATCGAGAAGTTGCGGAAGGATCCGTGTGACCGACCCGAATCCGAAATGGGTCACGGAGAAGATGCCCATGCCCCGGGTCATGCCCGACATGTTGATATTACCCACCGGTGATGTGATCATCCTCAACGGTGCTCGCAATGGGACGGCCGGGTGGGAGAATGCAGCGAACCCGGCATGGAACCCGGTTCTCTACAAGCCGAACGAGCCCGACCAGAATGATAGATTCGAAGTATTGAACCCCACAAAAACTGCACGGATGTATCACTCGTCGGCGGTGCTGTTGCCGGACGGAAGAATATTAGTGGGAGGGAGTAACCCACATAGATTGTACGACTTCAAAGCGTACCCGCACCCGACGGATTTGAGCTTGGAGGCATATTACCCCAGTTACTTGGACCCGAAATTCAGTCCTCTGCGACCAACCATTATAGCTATAGAGGCGGCGAACAATAGGGCGTCGTACGAGGAGACTTTCTCGGTGACGTTATCGTTGCAAGAGTACCACGGAGCAGGGGGGGTTGTCGTTGCACTAGTGGCGCCGTCGTTTACGACGCACTCGTTCGCGATGAATCAGAGGATGTTGGCGTTGGATGTGGTGGTTGTGGAGAGGGTGGCCCCACATGCTTACAGGGTTACGGCGCGTGGGCCCCCGTCACCTAATTTCGCCCCACCTGGCTACTACATGCTTTACGTTGTCCACGCTGGAATTCCTAGTGTTGCCGTTTGGCTTCAGGTTAAGTAAGTCCACGTGATCATAGCTCTTGATTATGTGCCTATCTTCTTGATGTTTTTTTGACCCCTAAGTTATCAAGCAGTATCGATAGATCGATCAATTTTATCCGAGCTGTTCTTTAATCTGTATGTTTTTTTGTTCAGGATTTATGGAGTTTTTAATATTTGATGAGGAGCATATGATTTTTCCTGGTGTGAGCGTAAAATAAAAAATTTTTTCTTCCTTACTTTTTTTTTAATAGAAAATTGAGGAGCTAGCATATAAAATGTGTTTCGCGAAGTTTATGCAAACCACCCTGCATACTAGCAAGTCTGCAAATATAAGTAGGTTTAGTTGATCAAGTCCAGAATCTGTATCGGTATTAACTACGTAAAAAATTACCCATTTTAGAAATCATGCATGGGCAATGAAACTCTATTTTAAAGTCCATAGAGAACAATTTTATTAATCTCACTTCAATCTTTTCACATGTATCTTTGCGAATCCCATTTCTCCGTTATGTATCAGAATAAAACCATAGCTCGAAGAGTCTTCCTGAGAAGTCACTAGAACAAAAAAGATGAAGGTAATTTTGGCAAAGCATTATTTAATACTCAGAAAGGTCAAAGGATGTAAACCCAAACACAGATATAAAGTGCAGACAGCCTACCAGTCATCAAATTGTGGAAATAAAACACATATTTGAGGCTATAATACAAATTGTTATCTATCGTTTGACATCATGGACTTGACAAGCCCATCTTCACCCTCTCTGTTTTTTTTTACCCTTTTTTTCCTTTTCTAGCCATCTCAACGATCGACTACTGGTTGACAAAATGGTTTCAGATAATGGATAACAATTTTGGGCACGATTTTCATTATACGAGCAGCAGATAGCCCACCAAAGTTATGCTGTATTTGACTTCGAAGATGCAGCAGTCATTGATGAACTCCTCACAGCAACCTTAACTGCTCCAACCACGCTAAGTTGAATCTTCTCAGGGCTGAGACCGTGTCTACCTTGGTTGTTTTTGCCTTCTTCTACTTGAACACCCACAAAGTATGCTATCTGATCACGCATAAACTTAAATTTAGTGACGCAGAATTGAGAGTATAACCTTTGGAGCTGGCGACTAAAATTCAATTCTTGTCACTAAAATTGTTCATAACAAGGAGAGGAGGAAAATCTGAACAAAGTGGATTTTTGTTTTGTCCCCAAAGGTGGATGAGATTTTGAGCAAGAGAGATTACAGGATAAATTATTTATACCACTCATAGGCTTCCATCGAATAACTTCAAAATTTAAGTGGCATTTGAGAGATTGCAAATGGAGCTTGTACAGAAGTAGCTCAGGATAACAGGGATAATGTAACTCATCCAGGCAGGTAGACATGGAGGTTAATCACATTAAATGTGTACAAGTAACATAATAATAAACTACTGGAGGCATCTCTTCCCAAGATGCTCGCAGGGATCCGTGAACTTACATCAGTAAGACCCATCAGACGCATACTAGTTAATACGAAAACAAATTAAACATATAAATTATGACAGTTCGCAACTTGAATTCCGTAGTCTAGACCTCTTCTAAGGAGACAGTTTCAAAGGAAAGAGTAGAACAAGGCAACAGCCTAAAGAACGCCATCAGAACGTTTAAATCCTCACAAGTCCGTAAGTAGAACAGAACTAGACTCATATTTCTGCGCATCATACGAAATTTGAAAAATAAAATGGAGAGTACTCCTTGATATGAATTTTATGTTTTAGGAAAAACACAATCATTGGTCCCTATAATTTTATCAAATTTTACTTTTAGTCTCTATAGTATTTTTTTTTAATTATTTTCAGTCTTATGAAACTATAAAGACCTAATTAACAAACGTCACCTAATTTTACTAAAACTATAAGGACTGAAAATAATGGAACTATAAGAACTAAAAGAAAAACTTGATCAAACTATAAGAACCAATAATTATGTTTTTTCTTATATTTATATTGATAGTAATTTGGACGAAAGGTTAAAAGCAACTGTCAGACTTGCTTTTGCTAGTGTTTGAATCTCCTTCTGTGATGTGGAGAGGATCCAGTGAGATGAGTGATGAAATATAGGGGGTGGGACCGGGACCGAATTTTTGCAACCCCACATTCCATCACTTCTCTTTTCTCAATTTTTCCCTCCACATCAGTATTATTAGTAACAACCAAGATACGGCATCAGCTACAAACTGCTAGCATCCCCTGCCTTTCCCCCAGTAAATCATTTGTTAAGCAATGAAGTACATGTCACTCACAAAGAATAAGTAATACGCAGGCAACTTCAAAGTATAAAATAATGGAGCAGATATTTTGACAAACAAAAAAACTGTTCTCCCAAATTATAGTTACCCACCAACAACTTGCTGGTTAACAAAATTGCAATATCAGAAACGACAATGCCATCTACAATAATTCTAACTTCTAGCCGCCTAATTGACAAACAAACACATTTCAAAACAATATCACGTTTGATTAAAGTTCTGTGATTCAGTATCCTCAATGCCCAAATCAAACTCAAGGAAAATGGTTGGCAGACTGGACATGAGAGACTGAGACATTTAAATTTACAGTTCAGCTCATAATTAGCTCATATGCAGAAGTACCTTGCCAGAGGCATCACGAATAGGCGATATATGTAGAAAATTCCAAAATGGGCTATCATCCTTCCTGCAAAGTTGCAGTAAATTGACTCATCACATTCAATGAATATGATGCACATCTTTGGAAATTGGGGACATAGGGGAAAGTGAAGTAGTAACCTGTAATTCAAAATACGTACTGTGCATGGTTGCTCAGATTTAATGCTATCCCTTATCTGTAAGAAATTAGCACGAATGTAATTACATGGTCTAGCACGAATGTAATTACATGGTCCATAGAAAATCCATTCCAATAATCCTAAGTTTCCATATTGCACTACAGATGTTGCAAAATTATAGCCAGAAAGTATATTACCAAATATAAAGTTGAGCTATCAGTATCCGGTCCACTTAGAAATCTACAATTGCGTCGCAGCACTTCATCTTTTACGTAACCTATATGAGCAAAAATGCAATTAGAAACATAAGATGAAAACCAGAGTAAACCTGAGTTATTGTTTTACGTCTTTGCATCAAAGCCAGAATAATTTTTGAAATAATCACAAAGCTATTAGTATTTAGTACTTTAGCCAAGGCAAAGGTTTCAGAACCTGTTAATTTCAAGAAGGCATCACTGGCGTAAACAATAGGCATGTCAGGTAAATGAGGATTAGTTCTGCAAAATAACACGATATTAAATATAAATCACGTAAAGAAATCAGGGATCTGTACTTGGCATAAAACTTAGGCTAAAGAAAACTAGACATATCAAATAACTCACAATACAAAGCTTTGTTTGATTCTACCAAGGGATATAATCAACGATGAGCTAAGAAGACCCCCGTCAGAAATGCTGCATCTCTTTCTACAAACCAATCTGCCACTCAACTCACTATAGTGGGTTAGAACAGAAAAAATGTTGTCCATGGCAGTCATGGCTTGTCTCTTATCAACATCGCTTGCCTCACACGGTGCTTCACCATTTGATTCTGCATGTTATAAAGCATACGGATCAGTAGAGAACATCCAACTATTACAAAAGTAATTCAACAAGAAAGGGTTATTTAGGCCAAAAGGACCTAGACCGCTAGAATAACCGAGAATAAGTGAACTACGATCGCATTAAACATGCCCAAAATGCAGAAGAGATTGAACTGAAGTCGTATTAACAAGGAATAGAAGCACAAAATGGTGCACCAGGCATTTAATTACGTCCAAACGGTGAACTCTAAAACAAACCTCTACCCTCATGTTCAACTTCTGACACTTGATGAAGGGACAAAACATGACCAGGTTCCAACAAAGAATCCGAGCACACTTCCTTCCGACACGATCCGTACACAAAATCCTGAGCCTTAGACCCATCGTCACTCAAATTAACACCAGTTCTCCTGAAGTCACATCCGGAACGCCTCCGTTTCCTCGATAGAGGAACCTGAACTGCAACGAAGTGACTCACCCTGCCATCATACTTGTTAAATACAGGACTCATGTGAAACAAAATCCAAAGAGGTTTGCCATCTTTACGATAATTCAACAAATTGATCTGAATGGGTCTCTCTTCTCTTATTGCCTCACGAATTTCTATTACCGATCTTCTACAAGTCCCTGTTCCTTGAAAAATCCTACCATTCTTGCCAATCACCTCGGCTCTGGAATAGCCTGACATTTTCAAGAACCCATGGCTCGCAAAAACAATCGGATGGCCAGAGATAGAGGGGTCGGTGATGATAAAATTGTCAGTCAATTCGTCGAGCGCCTCGCGAACATGGCAGGAGTAACGACTGTCGAATGATTGGTCTATCAGACCCAACTGTGATTCCATCCTCTTTCTTACCTACCTCTTCTACAGATTCGTCGCTTCGCCTCGTTGTCTGGGATATTCCCAATCCCATGTGGCACGATGATCACTTCTTGCTTCTGCAAATAAATTCCAACTCTTGCTCAAAGTTTCCACAAGACCAAGAAGAAAACTGGGGGCGAAGGACCCTGGAATGCCGAAAAAAATAATCCAGCAAGATGAAAACAAAACGGAAGACGCCACGAACTCTAAACAATGACGACAAGTATCATGTTGAGTCACAGATTTATAAGTTGCGTTCTTGAGAAGCAGGGACTACGTCAAAGAAGAGCACCACTCATGAAGGTACAACGAACAGCAACGCTCAGGCTGTTCCAAATTGAAGTGGGAATCGAAAATATCCTGCGAAAATTGTGGCAACCAGGGGATTACAAAGTAAAGATGGATACTCATCAATCGTATTTTTCCGGGAGCCAGAATAATACGAAAGCGAAAAGAAATGAAAATAATGGAGATATTATACAGTCCAGTCCAGTCCAGTGTCTCCAACAACTTAAAAGGGATGAAATGGAAAATTCACGTTCGGCGGAGCTTAAAAAAAGTAAATAAAATAGTGCCATCTTCACTGTTACCGAACAAGATCGGTATATTATTTTACCACGATCCTTTTGCCTTCTTAAGTTTTGGACTTTCTCACAGATGATAAGAAGAAAAAGGATTTGTAGGTTTGAAGCAATCAAGTAGGCTCAATAATTCAGTGGGCGAGATGAACTTCAAGCCAGAACCACATATTCTGATGATTTTGATATTTAGTGGGTAGCTCAATTGGCTGGACTGTTGCCTCTTGGGAGTAATTTGGCGACGTACGATACGTGATGTGATGGAGTCAGCTTGCATTAAATACAATCAATCTATTTATGGCCATTACTAATTCTGACAACTTTGATTTTATATAATAAAAAAATGGGATAAATTTCTTCCAATTTAATGTTCACTTTTAAAAATAATTATAATCTTATATTTTAAAGATACAGAACCCTCTCAAAAAAAAATTGTTTTGTAAAATTAGATCGAAAGAATATCTCTTGAGTCCTCATTAAAAAAAAAAAATAGAATGTGGGGTACTAAAAGAAGTTAAAATTACAAGCCAATTGAACTCGTAACCTGTTATTTATAAAAGAATGTATATGTCATCAGACTGCAAGATCATTGACTTCATTTTAATCATTTATATTGAAAACTACTTAGAATAATTACATTAAAAAAATACGTGCAATAATCTTTTCTTTGTTATCAGATAAAAGGCCATTTTTTGATACTGTACAATAATCTTCCAAAAAAACATTTGCAATCAGAAATTTGGAAGAAAGTTGATAAATATGATCGATAAAGTTAATTAATAGTCCATTTATTTAAAATTAAAAAATAATTTATTTTTAAATACATGAAAATTTTTAAAAAAAGATATTTATTTTTATAGAGATTTTATTAAAAAAAAGGCATTATTTTATATTTGATAATAATAATAAAATATTTACTATTAGTTAATTATTTTTAAATTTTATGATTTTTACTTTATTTAAGTTTTCATAAGATTATTTATTATTTAATTATTTTAAAATTGTATGATATCTTTCCATTGCATTATATTATTTTTAGAAACTATTCAAATTTAAAGTAGTTTCTTAAAATCTTTTTTACAAATTTTTAATTTTAAACAAATATTATAAAAACTTAGAATTTTTTTTCACAGAATAAGTATTTTTTTAAAAAAAATAAGTTGAAATAATGCCTTAATTCTTGCATATAAAATCAAAACAAACTTCCTTATTCACTTCCTTAGAGGAGGGAGGATATCTTTCTTCAATGAAATAGTTGATTGAGATAAGGTATTTTTTTTTTCCTCCAATAATAGCATTCGAAAGCCATAAAGGCATTTCCTCTCTTATGCGAGAGAAATTCCTATCATCTGTGAGAGTTCTAGTGAGATAGTGCCTATCTCTTGTCACCGTCGCCATTTGAACTACGTTGTGGCTTGCAATCTTTGATTGCCCGTGTGGTTGAACTAAGCTAGGCAATCATTGTTATTTGAATAACATTATTGAGTGGTTCTTTGAGTGTTTTCTAGGGTTTGGTAAGACTTGAGAGTGAGTGTTTTGAGTTGTGTGTGTGTTTCCTTTTGGTGTTTAGCAATATGGAGGTAGGATAGAATAGTAAAAATGGAAGGAAAGGGAAGGAAGTAATCTTGAATTTTCAGAAAAAATAAGGAGAAAAAAGGAGATGCTTTGGTGGAAAATTTATCGCTAAAAATATCTAAATAGAGCAATTGTGATTTTGATGATTTAGAAAGGGTGGAATTTAGGGGAGGAGGTTGAAGTGCATGAAATGGATGAGAATAAAAATTCCTTCCCCTTTTGATTTGATAGGGAAGAAAACTTTTATCGAGTCCTAAAGGATCGGCCTTGGTTGATCCAAGGACATCTCTTGTCTTTATAAGTATTAGAAAATTATATGATTTCCAGATAAATTGGTTTTACTAGAGGACCCTTTTGAGTTCAATTTTATGGCCTTCCATTACAAGCTCTTGATAAGGAGAATGCAATTACTCTTGGGGGTGCTATTGGTAATGTTATGATGATCAAAAATTCAGTATTGATTAGGAAATTTACTAGAAGTTTTATTTAAGTCAAGGTGGTGGTGAACTTGCAAGATACTTTAGTCACTAGGTTTTAGATTCTAAGGCCAAGAAAAGACCCTAGTTAGCTTTCTATTCGTTATGAAAGACTTTAGAATCTTTGCTATAGGTGTGGATGCATTAGTCATGATTCCAAAAATTCTAAGGTTGCTAGAGAGAAAGATGATAATGAAGAGAAGGAATTTAGGCATTAGGTGGGAACCTCAAATACTAAAACTATCATGGAGGTTGTATGGGTGGTGAAAGAGGATTAGTTAAGATTGAAGATGAGGATAAAACCCTCATGACTATCGAAAAAATGAAGCATCCTGGGTCACTCACCAATAATTCCAAAAATGGAAAGTTTAATAATAGCAAGAAAATGAGTAATAAAAGCGAAACAAAGGGGATTTAGATTAATGATGAGGAGAAATTAAAAGGAAGAGATAATGGTGGAAATAATGGGGAAGGACATTATAAAGGAGCGGAATCAGTGTGTGTTCAACGAGCAAATGATATTAGTGCAACTGTCATAGGGGCCTACGAGACAATCAGGAAAATTAAGTTAATGCACAATGAGAATGCTAGTGGCCTAACTTGAAATCTCACCAATCAAGTTCAATAGCAAGAATGATCAGCAAGAAGAGATTAGGCCTTATACCATGCCTTATAGCCTAGTCCAATATAGCTTAGTTAAACGTCCTATAGAAGTTGTATATGATTCCAAGGCCATTGTTTGGTTATGTGGCCTTTCCCTTTATCTCAGCTGTTATGTTTAGGTTAAAGGATATAAGTCTAAAAAGACTTATGGACTTTGAACATTCTCATGTTGCCTATCAAAGATGGGAACTTAGTTTTAAAGAGTATTAGTCTCACTCATTTGGTAACGGCAAGACCTTGTGTAAACAAACAATAGGGAGGAAAAGCTTTAGAAACCTAAAACAACATTTACAATACAATGGAGGTTGCAATTTGGTGAATGGTAATTCCTCTAATTCACCTCAATATGAAATTGATTTTCCTCCATGATGGTCTATGTTTAATGAAAATGAAAATGGTTATTCTATTCTTGCTACTTCTTCATCTTCAAATGCTAGTGGCCAGATGGGACCCACTACTTGTGCACAAAGAAGTTCTTAGCTTAGAACTATTAGGGTTTTGGGGTTCCTTGATAGTTAAAAATTTAAAAGAGGAATGTTATCGTCATAAACCTTAAATTATCTTTCTCTTAGAGATAAAGTAATGTAGTAGAATGGTGAGGAAAATTAAAAGAAAATGTGGGTTTTCTCAAAAATAGATGGTAGAATTAGTAGGTATCAGAGGGGACCTTGTTCTGTGGTGGACTAATGGTGTTGTAGTGAATATTCTTCATTCTTCTCCTAATATTATTCATATGATACTAAACACACCAACTCTTGAATCACCCAATTATTTTATGTTTATAAACAGGCATCCTAAAGAGAAAGAGAGAAGGGAAGTTTAGGAAGAGGTGAAAAAGATTACTAGATACATTGATAGACTATGGCTTTGCATGGGAGACTTTAGTGATATCCTTTCACAATCGAAGAAGTTGGGAGCAATCCTGGAGCAGTTAGAAAAATCCTTAACTTTCAAAACTTTCATAATAGGTGTATGGGTAATAGTTTGGGTAGAGAGTGGATTGATCATGCTTTTAAAAATTTAAACTTATAAAAGCTTTTCCTTCTACATAAGTGTTTAATATTGATCCTATGAGCTCTTACCACTACCTTGTGTTAGTTGATCTAACTTACTGTAATTTAAGGCGAGGTCAAACATTTTGTTTTGAGACTTTTTGGACTAAACATGTGGACTTCTTGGATATTGTCAAACATGGGTGGAATATCTATAATGTGACTATTGAACCTTTCATTATTGATTTCATAACCAAACTTGAGTCTTACAGAAGAGAGTTGTGTAAATAAAGAGAAAAAGTCTTTCTAAACAATAAAAAGTTGATAGTAGATCTCATGAACCAGCTTATGGTATATATATAAGGTGATATAATTGATCATAATAAATAGAAATCTCAAGAAATTATACTGCTAATAGAGAGAGCTATTGATAATGAGGAACAATATTGGTGGTACTATTCTCATATTTATTAGCTCTAATTAGGTGACTGCAATTCTAAATGTTTCCATCTACGTACAATCAAGAGGAGACAATACAACAATATTCTCAAAATCAAAGATGATATCAAGGCTGCCTCACGGAGAAGGAAGCTATCTTTGCCAATATTGAGGGCTTTTTTTGGGACTTATTCACTACGTTGTGTCCTTGAAGTATGGAGGATGCACTCTGTTGTGTACAACCAAAAATAGATGATGCCATGAATGCACAACTTGTTTATCCAATTATTAAGGAAGTCTTGGAGGTGATAAAACTCTAGGTCTGGATGAGTTTTTAGGAAAATGCTCTCTTAAAGCTATCAATAACACCAATATTACTTTGATTCCCAAAGTAAATAAACCAAAACATGCCTCTCAATTTTGGCCATTAGTCTTTGTCATTTTTCTTATAAGATAATCTCAAAGATCATAACTAATAGAATGAGACCCTTGCTTGATAAATGTGTCTCCAAGAATCAAGATGCTGTCATCCTTGGTCATCTTATTCATGATAATATTATGATTGCTCGCGAGCTTTATAACTATTTAAGGAGGAAAAAAATCAAGTAATATGTTTGAATTTGCTTTGAAATGATAAAATTAAGTAGGTTTTCTTGAAGAATGTGCTTCTCAAGTTTGGCTTTTGTGCTAATTAGGTTAATGTCATTATGAGTTGTGTGGAATTTGTTAGCCTTAAAATCTGTGTCTTAAGG